GAAAATATATATATAATTATAATAAAGTTACAATAAATTAAGTTAATATATAATTATATATACTTAATATATAATTATATATACACTACCTAATTTATATATAATTAATATATAATTATATGTACAGTACCTAATTTATATATAATACTGTACAGACGATAGTAATCTCTTTGTAGCGTGGCGCTTGACGGCGCGGAAAGTAGTTCGGCTGCCCGATGACGTTTTACGTAATTATAGGAGTTTTTTTTACCGTTTTTTACGGATACCGTCGCAATTTTTTCGCTGTCTTACAGGAATCGTAATTATAGGAACCCGTTTTATAGGGCTCTACTGTAGTTCTATTGGATATTAGTGGTGTATGTGAACGCGAATGAATCGTACAAGCAAGAAAATAAACGGTCAACAGGTTTCGCAAGAATTCCTCGGATGAAAAGCTACTAGCTCACCCGGTGAGCCAATTCCCGGACTCCGGACGATAGCACTGTCGTAGGCGCGGTGCAAGTATAGATTAGGATGTTTCAAATTTTTACAAGATATTATTATTATTTATTTTGAAATTTTGCCGCCCCCTAAAAAGTGCCGCCCGGGGCGGGCCGCCCCTGCCGCCCCCACTACGGTACGCCACTGTGTACAGGAGAGAACAACAGGTACAATAAGCACCCTATCCATCCTCCACACATACCTTATTTCCTAGGAGAGTTCTGTGTACTTGCTAATTTTTTCAGTGCATGTGTTTTGTACATTGTGAGTGTTTGTAATGGATATGTCTATAATGTCTGTGATTTTATTGTGTTTGTCAATGAGTGTGATGTCTGGTCTGTTGTGGTAAATTGTTTTATCTGTGATTATGGCTCTGTCATAGTACATTTTGTGCGTGTTGTTTTCCAATACTGTCTGTGGTATACTTGTAGTACGGTTCGTGAATGTCTACCAAGTTGTGTTTCTTTGCAAGCTCTTGGTGTATTATATTTCTTACTTGATTATGTCTGTGTAAATAATCTATCTGTGTCAAGAGCTTGCACCCAGAAGTGATGTGTTGTATAGTTTCTGGCATGAAGTGACATTTTCTGCATGTGTCATTTGTGAGTGTTGTATCTTTGAGTATGTGTTTTCTGTAGATTTTAGTATTTATGACCTGATTAGGGAATTCGATCCCGGTCCTTATTTCTAATCCCGGGATTTCGGGATTATACTTATTCAATCCCGGGATCCCGGGATTATTTCGGTATTGAGGGTTAATAAAAAATAAGAAAATCTTACAGAAATCAAAAATCAAAATTTAGACAAAAATCAACGTATTTTACGGTATACACCTAGTTAATTTAATCACTCTAACTAATCAGACTTAGTCAGACTAACCAGACTTAAAATCACTGTTTCATGTTAAATTTATTCTTTTTTAAGCATCACTGAGATCTCTTTAAACTCACATAAATTGAAAAACTCTTTATGTAACAAACTATGCAAATAAACGTTGAAAATTAACAAAAATCTCTCTTAACATCGACTAAATAGACTACTTTCATATAACAACCTAGTAAGTAGGTAATAAAGTAAGTTTCTTAGCAAAAAGTATTTAAAAATAATATTAATCAGTCACATTTTTCTTAAATATAAAGAAAACTAATCTAATAGGAACATTCTAATTTGAATTGCGAAAATATGATCTGAGAAATAACAAGGCATCCAGTGTCTCATCACCAAGTCTGCTTCTCAATTTGTTGCACATATATGCAGCTGCTGAGAAAACGAGTTTAAGTTTGATGGAAGTTGGAGGAATCGTTAGTAAATACTTATAAGCTTCGAGGACACGGGGACGATGGAAGAAAACAGTCCGGTCGACACGGATCGGGATTGTAGGAGTAAAGGCTACAATCCCGATTGTTTCGATCAGTGTAAGCATGTCTTTCTAAAAATAAACGCGTTAATTTTGTAAATTCGGTCTCTGTGTGAGTCTCTCAGCATCCAGCAAACCACTACCCCCAAACATAAAAAGACTTTCTCGCATCATCCTGACAGATCGCGGGCAAGGCGAGGGTCGTAACCTTTTCACCTAAGGTCGACCTCCCCAAGCGAGAGGCGTCGGGTCTATATTAACTACACTGGCAAAACAAGATGGCTGACACATTGACAGGTAAAACGCATTGAGTAGTGCTCTCGACTGCACCAGAAAATCGATTGGCGCCCGCGAAAATTCAAAAGTACAAAAATTAAGTATATTACCAAGTAATCCAGTGAGAACTGCTTGCCTATCATTTTAGTTGAAAATACAAGAAGTTTTATTCCAAGCAAGCATCGCAAGCCCGCTAGGTTAATTTCTGCTGCTTGCTTGGAATAAAATTTCTTGTATTTTATATTAAAATGATAGGCAAGCAATTCTGTTAAAAGCACTGGCACTGAACGTTTCGCTTCATGCAGTCTATTTTGCAACTTTTTTTTAAAATGATGTCAATCCCGAGATTTTCGGGATTAGGAAAACTTAATCCCGAAAATTTTGGGACTGAAAAGTTGTCGGGATCCCGGGATCCCGATTTTCGAGATCCCGGGATCAAATCCTCTAGACCTGATCCTGTATGGCAATCATGAATCCTTCCGTCTCCCCAAAGAGGCATCCCCGATCTAACCAGCTGTTTGATGCAGTTTTGTCAACAAAATCCTGGGCCAGGTCATAAGGATGCCTGCCATGGAGTGCCTTTTGAGCCCACAATTGCTTGATGGTGTCTATGCTTTTTATATGTTGTGTCAAGTCTGTATGATGTGAGTGTAAGTTCAGTGGTGTGTTATTTGAGTCTGCTAGAGTTACTGCTTTATGTAATTGTGATGTTTCTTGTTTCCCGTAGAAAAACTCTCGCAGTGACTGTATTTGTTTGTAGTGAAGGCTAACTA